GAACAAAAAATGTCTTTGAAGCACGTATGCTACTATCGTTTCTTTTTATATTTAAAGTGATTAATATTATGTTTTAGCGGATATTCATCGTATTATATATGCAAGTTCAGGAATGGTAATTCATGGTTATCTTGATCGTCAACCATATCTTTCAATTTTTAATGAAACTTTTGATGATAATACAATGTTAAAAGGTCTTAGAAAATTAACTGTTGCAGATGATCCACCTTTGCCTGATCTTACAACACCAGGACGTACAGTATATTCGAAAGGTAAAATTATTTGTGAACAAATGGCCACTGATATTGTTAAGAATAATTCAAAATCAATTAGTTGTGCTCGTTTTGGAGCGGTTAATATAGAGGATAAACCTGAAACAACATGGAATCGAACTCTATGGCTTAGTCATCGTGATTTATGTTCATTTATTAATAAAGCATTAGAAGCTCCTTTAAATATGAGTGGTATTTATTTTGTTATGTCGAATAATCATCGTCTTTGGGTTGATTTGGAACACACAAAAAAAGATTTAGGTTATGTACTACAAGATGGAGATGAAAAAATATTATCGTGGTATTGAATTCACATTCAATTGTAATTTGATATATTTAAAAGAAAATATTAACATCAGAAATATATCTTATGAAAAAGAAAACGAGGGTGTGATATAAACTCAAATAATAGATAGAATCAAAGCATTCATACGACCGGTTTCGACTATCGCTTAGGGGTGCCATTTTCCACTTACTAATCCTAGTAAGTGGTAAGTGGTAAGTAGCACCTACTACTTACGTAGTAATAGTGATTGGTTATCGCGAATTAGTTAGTAGATAAAAGATAAATATTACTTCCAGGTAAACGGGTTTGTATTTAACTGAAGGGAGTTCATATATTTTATATTGTCACGTCTTTGTCGAAATACTATACACTCCCTCTATACATATGGACGTATGACGCCATTTAGACGAAAAAAAAACAATATGAAGTGTTAACAGTCTTTCGATGCCATCGACCGAACTTGGAATCATTAATCTTTCACAAGAAGTTTCAATACGCTCAGTAACTGGTAGTCTTATGATGTTCCTAGAAGTATATATGCACTTCAGTCTGACATAGTGCAGTAAACATGTTGTTCGGAGTCGCAAAAACTACATTTCAATGAAACTTGATAGATTTTTCATACATTCTAACCTTTGAGAAGGGTGGTACATAAATTATCTACCTAGCTTTTGGTAGAGAAGGAATTGTTTATCGTCCAACAAACTTTATACTGGGTGTGGGTGTGTGGGTGTGGGTGTGGGGTGTGGGTGTTATAATAAGGGACACATCAACATCCAGACCAACACCAACACCCACCTACACCCACCCG